ATCCCAAGCCTTGCCATTAGTGAAGCATGTGGGCTTGAACAGGTCTCTCAGCATCTCTGAACTTCAGTTTCCTCGTCTATGAAATGGGGGTAACAAATACCTACCTCACGCCATAGTCACAGGGATTCTGACATGGAGTGTCATGGAGTGTTACAATGCCTGCATATACTGGGTGCTCCCCGATGGCAGCCCTTTAGTCACTGCCGTCAGGATTATGTGAGAACATCGAGGGTCCGGAATCAATAAGCACTGGCAGCTTGGTTCCCCTGTGGGCCAAGAGAGAAAATAAGAATGGTGCTGCCATCAGTCAGAAATGGCAGTGTGAGAAGGTTTGAGTCTGTTCTGGACACACTGAATTTGATGTGCTGTCTTGCCTGAGGGTTTCAGTCCCGGGCAATTCACTATGGATTCAGTGAGACCAAAAATGACAATAGAATGTTTTGGGGTGAAAGGGTTTTATTACCCGCTTGTTCTCCCAGCAGTAAGTCGAGCACTAGAATCATGGCTGCATCCAGCAGTCTGCAGGTCTGTGATCCTCCTTCATCTCTGCCTCTACCCAGAGCACTGGGCAGAGCCCTGTATAGTGACTCAGTCAGTACTAGCTCATTGCCTAGGGTGTGGAAGCAGTAGCCAAACAGCAGGCCAGTTACATCATCAAGTAGTTTAGGTTTCAGGTGAGGATCCAGGCCATAGGAACCTCCGTTTTCCCCACATATGCTATTGGGATATCAAGGTGGATATGACCAGTTGGAAACATTCTCATCTTTCTCCTTGAAAGCAGAGAATGTATCTGTGTTCACTGTTATCTTAGAGCTCAGTTATTGAAGTTGCCCAAAACGTATTGGAGGAATGGAGACTTGGGAGACACCTGAATCAAGTTAATTTCTGAAGCCAAGAGACTTTACAGCAGGAGCGGTTCTCTGTGTGGTTTCAGTATACATTTTCACTAAAGACTTAAATGAAAGCCCAGAATTGATTTAAAGACTTGGATCTCCTCTCCAGGGAAATCCTGGAAGTACTGTGCATGAGGGTGATGGCTCAGTAGATGGCAGTGCTCCACCATGTCTCTGTCCGGTCGCACGCAAGGCCAGGTGCAGTGTGAGCAGGCCCAGGTCGCCTGGCGGGAGTGATCACTGTAGGGGGATGGACATCGATCTAAGGGCCTGGGTAAATTGGTAGCTTTTTATCTACCCAAAATTCCACTGTCATGATGCCAGTCACATAGTTCTTACTTTTAAAAACCAGTCATGACAGTGACAGCATTGGGGTATGGGGGGGACTTGATAATATGGGTCAATGTAGTGACCACATTGTTTTTTCATGTGAAACCTTCATAAGAGTATATATCAATCATACCTTAATAAAAAATTTAAAAAAAAAAACAGTCATGAATTTTGTCCCTACCTTCAGTAATTTTTCAAACTGGGTATGTACTGCAAAGAGGATCCTCTGTTAGTGCTCCTAGTTGACCACACTTCCAATAATAATTTTGTTGTTGTTTTAGAGTCTGTAGCTCGTTCAAGCAAACTGCTGGGTTGGTGCCAAAGGCAGACATATGGCTATGCAGGGGTTAATGTGACAGATCTCACCATGTCTTGGAAAAGTGGCCTGGCTCTCTGTGCAATTATCCATCGATTCCGCCCTGATCTGATGTAAGTTATGACCAAACTCTGTGACCCCTAAGGACCTTCCCTAAGGACCTCGGAGTGCCCTGCTCCAAGTAGCCAAAGTTTGTACTTTTTCTTAGAATGAGACACATAGTAAGATACTTTCTCTGGAAAGCAGTAATTCATTTTGATGTCGTTATATTTAAAACTCTGTCAGGTCTTACATAGCTCGACCCAGGAACGATTAGATGAGTTTTTTAAATCACAGTGCTCAGGTCAAAAACTAGTTTAAACCTCCACCCACCTGGGCCTATGAACTTCACACTGAGGGAAACCCTGTCTACTGACCCCAGGGTGAGCCCTTCATCTCAGCTGGCTCCCTCTCAAATGCTCTTCGGTCCCAAGGAAAACCTGGCTAGAGCATTTGTCTGGCTGAAGGCAAACATGTCACTTCCAGCAAAACAGCAAACAGTGACTACTTACCCGATTTATGACAGCTCTTGGTATGATCCCTTTGTTAAGACCTACGCTTTTTGCACACATACTCTCTCAAGCCCACAGAATTCAGATTGCCCACATATACCAGTAACATCTCCTCTTTTGTCCATTCTTTACTCACCTAAATAGAGAATCAGTACAGTAGGATGACCCTGGGTAGCCAGCATGCTCAGATTTTCCCCATCGGCATTCATTACCAGAGAAGCCAAGCAAGAAGGTTCAGAAACAGAAGCAAAATGTGTTGAGTTATTTTGTCTGCCTGTCCTTTTGTCTTTAGGTCCACCTAAGGGCCCGATTTGTGTGTATTTATTTACTTTAATGATTGCTTAAGGAATGCTAGAAGACATTCCTATTTATATTAGGTTATAAGTCAATGAGGCAAGAGCTAGTCAAAACAGCTTTGCATAGTGTGGCTTAGAAGTGGGTACTGATCTGATTGAATAGGGGTGAGTGACCTCTGGCTCTCTGTCCTTTAGCTCATGCAGAGGTTGGCAAAAGGTGAGTGAAAGCAGGGCTTATTCACCCACCAAAGAGGGAATAGCTTGAGAAGAATTGGAATGACTGGCACAGATGTGCTTTAGAGAAAGGGCCAGGTGAACCCCTTCTATTCCAAAGGGAAGGCAGAGAAATAGAATGAAGGCAACAGTAACTGAAGGCGGCCCAGCAGCCAGGGTGGAGGCATGTGTGCGGTGTGCACAGACACAGTCCTGTTAGAATAGGGAATTTTCTTGTGGCAAAACACAAAGCAGTGAGTAGATAATTGTCACTGTTCAGAATACAATGACTTCATTCAGGATGAAGCTTTTATAGTTTAATAGGCTTAATCTACAGAGAAAAGGAATTTTTAAAAAGGAAAAACTACTATGGAATCAGTAGGCTAACACAAAGTGAGGCCTGCCCAGTAAATCTGAAACCACCTGAAGAAGAATGCCACCAGTCTTTACTTGATTGAATAGAATGAAGTTCGAAACCCAGTGGGAAATGTTTATTAGTCTAAATAGTTGGGAAAACTCAGGAAATTTAGCAATGGAAAAATCTCTCAAAGAAAGTTTTGAAATTTCCCTTTGAGTAGAAGGTCAAGTAAGATTTAACAGAGCGGATTCAGTGTATCAACAGCCTGTCAGGCTCACATTTTACTAAGAAATCTGTTACTGGGAAAATGAGGGTAGTTTTTCAACTTTCCCCCATTTTTCCTTTATGGGTATATCTTTAATCATTTCTTCTTGAGGATGGTTTGCATTTCCTTAGTAGAAGGAAGGGGACTAAGAGGTAGATGCCAGGCATGCTCTGAGGGCTCTGTGAGGTGCTGCATTCTGGATTTTAGCCAAGAGACCAAGAAATGGTGATGCTCTATGAGACCATTTCCTGATGTGGACAAGGCACCCATCTTGATGTTTTCTTCATCTTGTTTCTCAGAGATTTCAATTCTTTGGATGAGCAAAATGTGGAGAAGAATAACCAGCTGGCCTTTGATGTTGCTGAGAAGGAACTGGGCATTTCTCCCATCATGACAGGCAAAGAAATGGCCTCAGTCGGGGAGCCTGACAAGCTGTCCATGGTGATGTACCTGACCCAGTTCTACGAGATGTTCCGGGACTCTCTGCCCTCTAGTGGTAAGGGCAGCGGCCCTCGCGCAGAAGGCCTCATGTCCTCTCTTGCTGCCAGGCCTTCCTTCCCTTCTTTGCTTCTGACCCAGCCCTTCGTGAGGACCTCCAGAGGCGGGCCTGCACTCACTCTGTGTTCCCTGCTTGGCCGTCGGGGGAAGCCCCTGGAACTGTGCCCCACTGTTTTCCCCTCCTCTGCTGGTGTGTTCCCCGCTGCACATTCTTCCCCTTCTTTTCCTCACTAAATCTACAAATGGGCAAAAATCATTCCTGTCTGAAATGTCTCCTTAGCTGAACTACCTGCTCACACCCTTTCCCTCAGAATCAGCCCTTTTGAAAAAGTGGCTGATGCTATGGCCTCTATTTCCTCACCACCTAAAGTTTGTAACACTTTACAACCCAGGTTCTGTTTTTTTCTCTCAGCCAAGACTGTCCCCACAGTCATGAAAAACCACCAGATCCAGAGTCTTCTCATTTCCCATCTCACATACTTGGCTTTCTGCATTGTTCAGCACTGTGGAATGGTGTCTTTTTTCCTAAAATTCTCTCTGCCTGGCCTCTGTGAGCCCGAACTGTACTTGCTGATCCTCTTTCTTCTGTAACTGTTCCTTTTCTGGCTGCTCTTCTCCCACTTTTTAGTGTTATCCACAGTCTTCCCTTGGCCTGCAGCCTGCTGTCTCTGTCGGGCAGGGTGCTACAAAAGAATATTCCTGTTGTCCTTTACTGTCCCTTGGAGTGAGTGTAGCATAACACTTATGTCTGACCTGGGTTTACCTACCAGTACTTCCACCTGTCTGACCTTAGGCAAGTTAACCAAATTTCCCTGTGCCTGCTTCCCAGCTGTAAAATGGGGATTTATGTATATTAGATTATGATATGCTGAGAAAAAGTTTGGCAAATGGGATCACTTAATAAATGTTAGCAAAGTGTTATATTTCAATGATTATTTTTAAAATTACTATTATTAATAAAACATCAGAATCCACAAAGTTTGTGGTTTCTCTGTGTGCTTTCCAGTGTCTTCCAGCCCGTGTACTGTCATAGATGTCTGTGGCTTTTTCTAATTATATATGCAGCTCTTACAACAAAAACCCACAGCTCTAATATCAGTATACCTGCCCAGAGGGAGCCAGCCCTGCTTTGTGCAGTTAAGTGCGTAGTGTCTGCATGCACCAAAATCAATGATCTTGAGCTACTTCCCTCTCTCTTTTTATCTCTGCCCTGAAATTTTTATCACACAGGTGAGGCTTTAGCACTCTGCTAAACTATCATGGGCAGATTCCAACTTTCAGAAAGCAAAGTCGAGGCTCTAGTGACTGAAGTAGATTGGGAAAAAGTGCCAGTTTTGTTTATATGGATGGAGAAGAGAAGGCCTAGTGTCCAGACCTAGTGTGCGTTTCCCTGGTGGAATTCCTCACTGAGTCCCTCATGCTCTTGTCAGAGCAGATGAACCTTCAGAGCTCAGCTACCTACTAGGACGTAGCTCTGGTCAATTCTGAGTCCCCTGCAAGGCTGTCCTCTTGCACTGCTTTCTGTTCACAGATGCTTTGGACCTGGATGCTGAGGAGAAAGCAGTCCTGATAGCCAGCACCAAATCCCCCATCTCCTTCCTGAGCAAACTGGGGCAGACTATCTCCCGGAAGCGTTCTCCCAAGGTAAATGGAAGCGTGTTTTTATCAGCCGCAAGCCCAGTGGCATGGCAAAGTGACTACAATAGTGTGGTTTCCCTGCTCTCCTGGCATAGGACAAAAAGGAAAAGGACTCGGATGGCGCTGGAAAGAGGAGAAAAACCAGTCAGTCAGAAGAGGTGAGAGTCATCTGGGCCCTGCTGGAATGATCAGACTGAAGTGACCCCTTGGCCTCAACCCTTGACTTGCAGTTGGTCTCACTCAGTCTCTTCCTATTTGTCCTTCATGAGAATCCGTGGGCGGGCACCCTTCCTGCATTGGATACATTTCTTGAAGAACATCCAGGGTGAGGGCATTCCTGACTCTGGAATCACGTGTTGGCAAAGGGCAGTGGCTCTCTGGGACAGGACAGGACTGGCAGCAGTCCAAGTCCCCATACGCCACCCTGTGCAGCTTCACACCAAAGCTGTATGGACTCCCCTTTACAGTTAGAACCTGGAAGAGCAAACACCAGCCATTGTGCCAGCACTGGCCACACGTCTTTGAGGGAGGCACATTTGGGGGCTCCTCTCATGGAGGCTGATCCTTGGGTGTCACTGTTCATCAGGAGGAAGCACCCCGGGGCCACAGAGGAGGGAGGCCTGTGCTGGCGAGCACTCTAACAGACAGGAGGGTGGAGGTGGCTGTCGGCAACCAGAACAAAGTGAAGTACATGGCCACCCAGCTGCTGGCCAAATTTGAGGAGAATGCACCCCCACAGTCCACTGGTGCGAGGAGACAGGTGAGCCCGTCTCATACCTCCCCGGTCCACGCTTGGTCTGCCGTGCAGAAAGAGGGATCTTTTCAGGGAAATGAGGGCTGGGGGTGTCAGACCAGTGCCTGGTTCCCTGACAGGCTGTAAGGCATTTCCTAAGGCTTCATATACTTTCAGCACTGTCCTGATCCTCACCACTCAGAGCCAGCCTGTCTGTGACAAGTCATAGAGGGATTTTAAAAATGTATATATCTGTGTGTATGGACATGTTCACATACAGAGAGGCATTTAATTTATAAAAGAAGTACATGCTATTGAGGGAGATGCTGAGAAGTATAATAAAGGTGGTGAAGACACCTCTAGTACTTGGTGACGTTTCTCTTTGGCCTTTCAGCAATCCTGTTCTCACAGTTCAGGCATTCTTGTACATACCTCTCTATCCTGCTTTCTCATGCGCCTTTTGGCACATCCCCACAATCACAGCTCTTCACAGACATCTTCCCAAGTGTGTGGGCCACCCTCTCCCTGACCCTCCTCCAGTGTCGGGTATTTAATTTGTTTCTCATATTTCACAAGGAAGTACAGAGGCCGTAAACATTTTGTGAGAAAGCTTCTTTTGTGTGAAGAAGGTTTTTCTAGGCTGGCCTCAGGCCAGGTCAAGAGGCATGAACGTGTTAAAGGTTCTTGATGCCATGAGCTCATTGCCAAGGGTGCCAGCTGGAACCTCTTCCCGGGGCACAGCACCCATGTCGCGCCTTGCCTCTCGTCTCGCTTGCCCACAGGTCACTGAGCTTCTTACAGGAGGAGGTGCTGGGACTTTGAGGTACACACTGCAGCTCTGTGAGAACACCCCGATGGCCTGAGAGAGCACCCGGAGGCGAGGGCGCCCATTCTCTTCATTCTTTCTCCCTTTCTTCATCTTCTCCACACTCACCAGCCGTTGTGCCTGGGCCTCTGCTTAGAGCCTGGCCGCAGTTACCTTCAGACATCTACTCTTTGGTTATTAATCCTTATGCTCCCATCATTTGCGTTCTAGCTCCCAGGGAGGAGGAGGATATTCTCCAGTGAACAATTGAGGCTGCCCGGGGCTCTGGCAGTCCAGGTCCGGCCTTTCGGAGGACGGCTGGAATGTGGCCTTTCAGAGGAATTCACCCCATGTGAAAGCCGCCTTCCTCATTTTGAGTGGAAGGATTAGTTTTCCAAACCAGAACAAATAGTTTGGGCTCAAAGCATTGAGTTAAGGAGAAGGATAATGAACTTGTTTCCCTTTTTTTTTCCTTTGCATTTGCTTTTGATTTGAGGGGGCAGGGTATTTTGGTAGCTTTCTAAGAATTAATACTGTCCCTCCCCCCTGTTCCCACTTCATAGTTGTGTGTCTGTCTCCCATGAGTACCTTTTGTGTCTTCTCCCACCCTAACGTATTTTGTTTTGTCTGCATGTCCTATCCCCCACCCTTTCTGGGCCTGTGTATCACAGCCAACACAAGAACGTGGGGTCAGCCAGCCGTCCTGCTGCCTACCTGAGCAGGGTCACCCTGCTCCCACCCCTCTGTGGAAACAGGTAAAGGAACTGCCCAGGGGCCAGGGTGGGCACTGCCTCCCTGGGCCTTCCCTCCCCATTCCTCCTTGTTGAGCCTGCCAGGCCTGAGCCTGCACTTGAGAGACCAAGCTCACAAGGGCAGGAGGTCTCATTTGGGAAAAGTGAGCAGACAGCACTGACTATATTGCATGATTGTTTAACTCCCTGGGATTTGGGAAACCAGTCCAAAGGGTGGGCTGTTAATTTGGTGTTGAAACTAGCTGAAGCTGTGTGGTAAGGTGTTCAGGTACCTTGGCCTTTGCCGTTAGGCAGCCTTTGTCCCAATTGGCTTTTTGCTAACGTGTCCTCATGACCATTGGAGAGAGAATCATAAATTCATCAAGCCGAGATTTGGAATTAGAGCCTCTCATGTTAAATAAGAAAATGTTATCTAAGAAACACGAGCTATGATTATTTGTTTCAAACACTGGACAGAGATAATAATGGGCATTTTCTTGGTGCTATGCCTACACTTAACACAATCTTTTTCAGACTTTTCACTAAAGTTTTTTCAGGATATCCTGGAAAGCTACTTCTAAGTGAAACAGAATAGAGTAGAAATAGGAGAGCCATCCAGTGGCCTGGGATCCTCTGCTGTGTTTTCTCCTGTGGCTGGTGAGGGCGGTCTGGGCTTGCTGTCTCGCGGGCAGGTGTCATTTAGGATCTAGAGCCCCTCATGTGCTGTGCGGGGACAGCACTGCTGGGGGTGCTCAGGGGGAGTGGGTTTTATTTGAATTACATTTGGGGCAAAAGATTTCTTTCTGCCCTCTGATGCCAGTAAAGGCAGAGCCCAAGAGGCTGAAGTGGAAGCTTAGGAGCAATGCCCTAACTCACCACAAAGCCAGGCAGAAAATAAAGTGGAAGCGAATTTCCAATGAATTTCTTTCTTTTTGCCATAACAATTCCCCCAAGGATAGAGACAGAGGCTGCCTTGTGAGTCTGGCCTTACAAGTCTACCCCTGAAAGATGGAACCCTGGAGTGCAGTGCCAAACGCTGTGAAGGATAGAGGCAGAGGCTGCCTTGGGGGAATCCTTCTGGCAAAAAGAAAGAAATTCATTGGAAATTCGCTTCCACTCTATTTTCTTAACCTTTGTCTTGACGTCAAGGCGGAAGGTATGATTTGAGAGGTAGCCTTTAGTTGAGGATCTGCCGGAGGAGAAAGTGAACTCTAAACTAGATTCCACAAACTCTGGATTCTAACAGTCTTCATAAAGATCACCTGCATTAGGCAGAACAGAGGGAAAGGGAGATAATTGTGATTCATGTGAGTGAGTGAACAAATGACTGAATGGCACATTCCTAGAGCAGCATTGGGTGGACTTGCTGGGAGTGTCAGGGGCAGTCAGGGCGGCCCGAGGAGCCTGGCTCAGCTGAGGCCTCTGTTCCGGGGAAAGGGCACATCACTCATTACCTGATTGTTTCTACCTATGCTGCGTTTCTTCTTACTATGAGGCATCTAGCAGCCTCTAGCCATGGCCATGTGCAGGGTGTCACGAGGTGATGCCCAGCTAGCTCGTCACCTGGATAATGTGTCATCATAGTCAGTGACGAGGCGTCCTGCCAGGGCCTACAGGCAGCAGAATAGAGCTGTTCAAGTCAGACCTGGGCCCCATGGAATGGCAGCAGAGATCACAGCTAGCTGGGTAGGTAAGTAAAAAACCATGAGAGGAAGACCCTGTTAGATCCTGTATGCTTCATGTTATATCGAGTTTTGAATTGTAAATTTACTTGGCTACAAAAGAACGATAGCTCCCAGTTCTTATATCCATGTGAAACATATTATATTCACATGTAATAGTTTCTCACTGCTACATGAGAAACTGTTGTGAGTCTGGCCTTACAAGTCTACCCCTGAAAGATGGAACCCTGGAGTGCAGTGCCAAACACGGTGAAGCTGGGGACAGAGTAGCTGCAGTGCTCTGACTCACCCTGGCTGCCAGCCCTCTTTCTGCACAGGAACGGGTGACCAGTAGCACCTTATCATGGCTCCCTTTGTTTTTCTCTAAAGTGGTTAAGATTGACACGGGGTGTGGTGGACACAGCAGTGATGGCTGAGTTGGTTCAAGGGCCAGCTTCAACTTATTCACAGTGTAGAAGAGGGGACACCAGCTCCACTTGGCCAGTGACTTCTCCTTTACCCTCCTGTGTGAACACTTTGGCTGTTCCCTCCCCACCCCTTTGAGTTTTGATCTTAGAAAAGCATCTTACAATGCATCTTACAGGCAGACTACACATTAGCCAGCTTTGGTTTAGAAGTAGGTTGTCACGTGAAGTTAAACAGCTCCCACCCCTGGGCTCCGTCTGTGTGCTGCACTCAGGGCCATCCAGGCCTGAGGACAGTAAGGGCTGCTCTGGCCTAAGAATGAATGCAGACTGTCTCTTAAGGACTGGAGTGTTTTCTAAATCAGGCTCACAAGGAAGGGAATGTGATGGGGGCTAATCCGTGCATACACGTTTGGTGTTCAGTTCCTGGAGATGGTTACTTGGTATGTTTTGTTCCTGTGCTTTCCCGTATTTCCTGGGTGGCTTTCCAGAACCTGTTGAGTGTGAGCTGGGACATGGAGGAGAGGGAGCACTGGCATGATGCCCTGGGTGGGCCCCAGGGAGAGCTGCCCGCTGCTGTCGGGGGCACAGGTGGCCCAGCCACAGAGAGGATGTCCCCACGCCCCCTGGGTGCTGCTGGCCTGTGTGCCCTTTCTCTCACAGACAGGCCCATTTCTTCTGTCCCCAACTTCCCTGATAAAACCAACAAAGAATGTCCCTGAGCTCTGGCAGTTAGTGTAGCACTGCAGATCTGACCCCGACACCCACTGCAAGGTGTTGACCTGTGTGGTCTGTGCCTGAAAAATGGTGCAAGTCTGACCCGCAGGCCAGCCATAGACTGTGAGGAGCCAACCTCCCTGGCCACACCTCGTTGCTGCTGGGGACGGAGGGCACAGAGGGGCCTCTGGGATGCTTTTGGCAAATGCCCCCGCCCTTCCAGAATCAGCCTGAATGTGACACCATTTCACCAGCGATCTCTCTTTGTGTCTGTTGGCGTAAAAGCAACGGGAAAAGGAGCATCCTCGGACCTGCCCCAAAAAAGTGATCACACTCTCTCCTCTCTCTACTCCCACTCCCTGTGGGGCACGTGGCGGCCAGCAGGTGACCCTCTCTGCATGCTCCCTTGTCTTCTCTGTGTCGTCCTGCCTGCCTATGTGAGTGACTGGGGTAGAGACCAGATGAGGAGTCCCTCTTTCAGGGATAACTGTTAAAAAGCAGATAGACCATTTGTATAGCAGAAGCAACCTCTGTCGCTACAAAGAAGCAATGCCTGATTGGACCTCTCAATAGCACATAATACATTCTAACTCTGGCTTTAATCTGGCCCCGCATCATAGGGATACAGCTATACAATCACAGATTAACATTTCAACTATATATGTCATAGATTCCAGGTCCAGTGCCC